ATATGAAGAACCATACCTTCTCCGCCCAAAAATATGAAATCCGGGATCATTCAAACATACTCTAAAGATATGATGACATACTCCAAACATATGTAATTCAGTAGGATAAGTTCATACAACTCCAGACATACATAATCTAGAAGACACATACTCAAAACATATGTAAATAATAACATACTCTCTAGATAAACATAATCCAGAAGATATACCAAAACCTATATAAGATACTCCAGACAAACATAATCTAGATGACATACTGAAAATATAAGTAAAGTCTTAACACTTGAATGCGTAACCTAAACACCAAGAAACTAATTTCACAACATACCTTACTATTTCATGAACTTCCTTCCCTCGAAAGTCTCTCGATAGATTGTTGCATTTCAAGAAGTTTCATGTTAAACTCTTGGCTTTGGGCCTCCAATGCTTTCTCTAATTGTTCTTTGGTCGCCTTTTGTTGAGCTATCAATGTTTCCTCGATCTTTTCAAGGCGAGACTCTAATGACGGTACTTATTACGTAGTTTGATATTTTCCTAATGACCATCTTCAAAATTTATTCGTCTATTTTTTAAATTCCTTGAAAAGAATAATAGGCTTTTAATGTAATCACTTCTTCCTGAAAAAAATAAAGGTGGTCGCTAAGAACTTTGAGATATATCTTATATTAATACTTACAGTAAAACATTAAACGAATACCTACATATGTTTCCTGGAGTGCTCATTAATCCAATTTTTTTCCAGAATAATGTGTATCTTAGAATATATGAATGAGATTTCAATATGTCCCAAACCTTCTTTCATATTCTCGATGTTTCATATCAAACAACGTCTACGTTTCCTGGTGTTGACTTTGCAATAACTCTTCCGTTTTTTCCAATCTAACTTCAAAAGCCTTAACATATTTCTGGTAGTATCTTGCTATCTGTTTTTTACTTTGTGGCTTTGGACCATACCTCATCTCTTTCGTGTAGGATGATCATTTTCCAAGCACGGTTTGCATAGCATCTTGCTCACTCAATTGTTTACCTTCTTCGTTTTCTTTTTCCACCAACTCCACCATTTTTTCCTACAACAATAAATAGAATTCTGAATAAATATTACCATTAAATTTACGTTATTAAAATGAGTACTTACATGTGCAATATGAGCGGCTTCGTCGATCCAATGTTTTGTCGGATGGCAGTGTGTTGCGAAGAATAACTCGAAAGAGCTCAAAATACGTCTCATCTTACTTTTTCTATTCCAATAAGTTATTTAATAATAATAATAACAATCAAAGCATATATTATACTACCACAAACAACAACTTTGTACTTTGTCTTCTCGATGGGATAAAAATGATTTCGGGTCAGCGCGATGATTAAATGACAGTTTACTCCAAATAATTTTGTTTCTCGTAGACTTTGCCTACATCAAAAATAAATAAATAAATATATACATATATATATATATATATATATATATATATATATATATATATATATATATATATATATATATCAATTTTACTAGTTCTCATACATGTCAAAACAACACTAACTAGGCCGCCCCTAAACAACAACTCATTAAGGCATCAGAACAACCAATAATAAAATCAAACTATCCAAATAATGAAAATAAGTGTAGGGCAACCTAATGGTCCTTCCTCAGTCATGCCTCCTCCAGGTCATCATCATGATCATAAATATGATATGCACCTGAAAACTATAATTGCAGAGGGGGGTGAGTATATAAAATACTTAAAAACGTCACGAAAAACGATATTTTGCATGACGTTTTTAAAACCACGAATGCTATTTTTCGTGACGTTTTAAAAATGTCACGAATAATTTTCTTGATGGGGGCATAGGTGACGGCGTTAAAAACGTCACAATAGGATTTTGTGACGTTTAAAAAACGTCACTAGAACCCAAATTTCTACTAGTGCTATTACAAAGAAAGCATAACGATATCGATAAATATATAGTGAGTAATTAACACACATAAAACAAACACTCCCAACACACTAAACACAAAACTCAAAACGATCATACCTAATGTTGTGGCATGAACTTTAGAACAAGCCAAACACTTCAAAATTCTAAAGTCTACAAAGATCGTATACCATTGTTGTTAACCAACTGTGACAACCCATATTTTCGAATACAGTCATTCTAACAAAATTAAAATATGGAAGCATAAATAAATAAATACTGTAACAAAGGAAAACTTCTTTCACATAACGCCACAAGTCGATTACTCCCAACACAACAATCAAAATTGTCCAGTCACATACAACGATAAGAAAACATGTATTATCATAATGTCCAACAATGAAAACAATAACATGTAACTCAACAAAATCAGTAAAAGTTCACAAACCAAAAACTAACAACCCATACATGCATAAATGAATTATTCAATCTAAAATCAGCATCAAAACCACTCCGTTAACGCTAAATAATGCACACACTCGCCCCCTAGTGCTACTTACCAACCACGTCCCTAAGTCTTGCGTCGATCTCACACCTAAGCATACAAACAGAAAAAAAACAGCAAGTTATATGTACGGTTTAGCTTCTGAAATCAACTCTAAGAGGGTTCAAAGGGCTCCTTACCGCAAAGTCGACCTCGTGTAGGTGTGGGTAACTTATATCTAGCTTGCAAAGGTGTGGGTAGCGTAAATCGGGCTTCAAACGGATGAAGGAAATCGCCGAACACCACCAAAACGCTGTTGTCCACGTTTTTTCAGCAGAGAAATACACCAAAACG